CATATAGAACATACCTATATGTATACCATTATTAGTGTCTAAGTATTGAGTCACAAAGCTTTTGTTTAACAGCACCAAGAATCTTCTTTCTCTTTAATTCTGAAGACTGACACCAAAACCTGACTGTTAATCCATTCATTTTTGGCGTGAGATTCTGTTTTACTATCAGACTTCATTTGTAACTGCGCTGGAAAATTTCTAAAGTGACATTAAGGTGTCATGTTTACATTTGTTGAGTGCAGGTTCAGTTGCATTACAAACACCATCGTTGCAGGAGGTGAGTATTAAATATCTTGCTCAAGGGTACTTTAGAGGTAGATTCATGCCAAGGACAAGGCTGGGAAAAGGGTCATTTAGTCACTGCTGCACTACAAACCAAGCAGTCAATTATCCAAATCATTATCCAAAAGATGAATCCACTCAAACATCTATGCAAATAGCCATTCCTTTCTTCAACTGCAGCATTAGGCGACACTAAGCTCTGAGTATCAATTTTGTTCACAGCAATTGGCTTGCCTGAAAGCATGACTGTTTAACCCCTCAGCAGTTTTAGGAAATTCAACAATGGCCTTGTAGTGTAAGGGATTAGCCAAGAGCAACATCAGCCACAGGCAACTCTCCTGGCCAACAGAGCTCCAATCTCTGATAAAGAAAAGGCTCATGTTTTACAACTAATCAAGTTAGGGGGGGAAACTGACGGGTTGTAAAACAGTACGCTCCTTGTTTGACACTTTTTAATTTAGTAGGCTTGTACTGCCTGCTATTTGTTAGTTAGCCTCACTTTTATTGTCCCTTAAAATCCACCCTTTTTTCCTTTCTGTCTCAGATGCTCCAAAACTGTCCCACTTTCCACAAATAATTATTCCCATGAGACCCACAAGAGCCTTGGAGTCTTGATCTTTTTCCACGGCAGAAGGAGGCCATATGTGGTTTCTCCCTAACACATAGTTTGTAACAGATTCTCTCCTCCCCCACCCAACTTCTCTCAATACGTCAGCATTCAAAAATCAAAATGTAAACAAAAGGTGCAATTCTGTAAGTACCACATTGGTGGATAACAGGTAACTAGTCTTGTGACTTGGTTGTAGTTAAATGTTTGTTTTGAAATTATTTCTAAGCTGAATTTCTTTTATCAGTTTGTAAGTTTGCATCATTTACCCACATTAGCAATGGACATTTTGATATGACCCTCATTAAGTCTTTTGCATCTAAAAGTTATACCCTTCAAATACACAAAGGTTTCAGCTAATGCAAACATTCACAATGAAAAACACAGTGTAACATGTTCCACACTGGAACAGTCGAAAACAGCACCGGGCTGTCTGCAGGCAATGCAGCTCAACTAATCAGACAAGTTTGCTCCACCTGACACAGCAGGTTGGTAACTTAGTGACAGTATCAGCTTACGAAACTGTGCAGCTCGCATAATAATAATAATTTCCAAATGTGCAGAACCTCACTGAAACCTAAGTATAAAACTATATTGTACAGACTTCTTGTGTTGCAGATAGGACTATTAATTAAGCCTGGAGCCAGGTGTTAAAATGCCTACTTTAACACCAAAGATATTGTATATTGTATTTGATTTACTATAGTTTATTTTGGGGGAGGTTTTTAATGTTCAAATTTCCATAATGTTTTTTTAAAGTAACTTGGTAGTAACTGAAGTATGCTGTAGCTGTGTTGCTGTTTGTACTGGTGTGAAGAGTATCAAGAATATCAAGAGTGTGTCTGTGTGTGCATGTGTGAGCTCGACACATAATAAACAACAGTGACATATAAGCAGGAAAAGGCTGATCCAATGCAGTAAACATCCTGTTGCTGTGATAAAGACCCTCTCCAAGCTACTCCAAGCTACTCCCAGTTCACCCAGTCCTTGCAAACAAAAGATACAAAAACATTGACTCAATGTTGGATATAACTGTGAACCAGCTGGGGATGTTTTCACACCAAAATACTCACCTTTACATTTCGGATCTTCACAAACTTGTCCTCCACCTGAACTGCTAGCCTTCCTCCATCCGCAATCTCCCTGTGAGCAGGAAGAGAACAACTGCTTCAGTGAACTCCGTAAAATATCCATATTTGGACGGGAGAGCGATCAGATGGAGAAAAACATTAACACATGCTTCCAATAGAGAAGAGAAGATCGAAGGGACGCTATCAGTATTGATCAGTGTCTCCCTCTCCAAATGCAAACCGGACAGAGATTTAACAAAGGTTTCACTTCAGATTCAAAACCCTACGGACAGATTCAAATAGGTTTAAAATCCTCTTTTTGCTGATGCAAATATAAGTGAGAGGGTGTCCAGATACATTTAGGCTAGTTCCACTTGACTTGGGGCCATCACATGACGGTTGAATGACAATGAATGAATGAAAATGACAATGAATCTGTGTGTGTGAAATCGCCACCAGTTTCAGATTCAAATGAAAACAGACCCTAACATACTCCAGAGGCTTACTCTCAGGACCAGTGCGTGTCTGTGAGAACAAGGTCAACTTGGCTATGTGTGCTTCAACAGCTGGACCGAGCACATCTGATGCAACAAACGCTAAACTGGAGGCAATCACAACATGGAGCCTAGAGAATTTTGATCTCCAGGAGAGATAATGACGGCAAGTGCTGCATGTAGTGCGAGCTCTGTGGTGGGTTAGGGGCATACGAGGAGGCTGTTGTAATCGTCAGCTCTCCCTGTGCTTCACCACATGGGACTCATTTTGCCAACCTCAGCAGTGGCCCAACCCAAACCCACTAACCTTCAATCTTGGGCTCCAACTATCACGGAGGAGAGGGGTTGGGGGTGGAAAATAGTAAACCTCATAAAAATGTGTTTTGATGATACAAACGTAAGATGAGTAATTTCACAATTTGGCTGACATATTTTTCACACATGCGAGAGGCTGCTCGCAATCTAAGGGGGCCAGCTGAATCCTATTGGTCAACAAAAACAAAGAGCAACGCACTTCGGCCAAATGGAAGGAATGCAGCTAACCAGGCTGGTGTTAATGTTATCTCTCTCACACATTAGGACTGGAATACATAAGTAGGGAAATACATCCTTCACTTGAGCAGATGAGAATGAGACTGTCAGAACCAGAAATCTGGAAGCACAGATTTGCATGACAGTGAACATAATGTGTAAGAAATACCTTTGTTATGCAAAATACCAGGAAGACTGGTTGAAAGAATCATTGTCCAGCCCTTCATAGCCTGAATGCTTTGTTATGGTACAGCAGTGGCTTTCAGATTTAGCAACCCTGCAGAAGATCCTGCGGGAGTTAAATGTAACTCAATGTACTATTATAGAACTTACATGTTCTATATCCCCAGACCCTGAAGACCAGTTATTCAGCATGTTGTAGTAATTTGCCTGTTAATGTAAAGGGGTGCAGCAAAGCGACTTTACAACCTCCCTTTTTCACTTTGCTACGTCAACAGCAGATTTTTTCCATAAATGCCTCTCACTAAACTATGGAAATAGCTTAAAGTAAAATGTGCAAATGAAAGTTAAGTATGTTTATATATATATATATATATATATATATATATATATATATATATATATATATATATATATATACACACACACACACACACACACACACACGTTTTTTCCAACCAACCATACAACACCCAAAATGTTTACTTTTACATAAATCAGAAAAATAGAAGATCATAAGCAAGCACTGGTAAATATTTGGCATTTAAGCTTGAAAATTGATCATCAATTAACTTGTCATTTATCTTTTGATTGATTAATTGATAAATCAACTAATTGTTTTTGCTCAAATTTTTTCAACTTTAGAGCTTTTGCGGAAATATAAAGGAGAAAATTGGATGTTAAGATGTGAACACTCTGGGTTTCTTCAACTTGTGATGGTTTCCATTGTTTTTGTACAGAACTACTTGATTGTTTTAAAGACTAATCCTTCATCCTAGCAGCAGTCATCCATAAAAAGACAGCAAAGGTAACGTTAGCTATTTTAACCCATAAGCGTAATGGTCGTTGTGTAAAAATAATTGACAGCAGGTATACAGTAACGTTACTTTAAACCTAGCTTAAGTGTTTTGAACATTACTCAGCACTACACACACACACACACACACACACATACACAAACGATGCTTAGTCAGACAACACTACTGACAGCCACAGTTGTCATTATTCACCATGTGCACCACTGCTTAAGTTTTTTTTAGCCAGCTAGCCAGCTAGCTTAACATTCGTTTCTGTTATGGCTTCGGTCGTGTCAAATAACAAAGTGGAACAATAGTGCTATTACAAAAAGCAGCATACTGTTTTGAATGCAACTAACACCAAGCAGCAGCCAAACTCTCACGGCTAACAACAGTTATAACATGAAGAGAGACGTGGAGGCAACTGACATTAAAGCAGCTCTACATTTATTAAGCGGTTTAATTAGAGTAATATTAGATAGCAGAGGCAATTAACGCTAGCTAAAAATTAAACTTACCTTGCGTTGAGAGGACGGACTCGAATGGCAACTTTAACGTTTGCCATGATGATGCCTTGCGAAGATTTTACACACAACTCAGTTGACTAACTCGGAGCTGGTGTAAAAAAGCTTTTCCCGGTGTGAGCATGTTGAGTCTGTTGGCATTTTACCCCGATAAAACTTGAGAGCGGGAGGAAACGGTCCTGCCATCCGCTGATTCAAGTCATCTCTACCGGCTGGCCGCGGGTTCAACCGCCCGCCGCGTCTCTCCAAAACTCTCAACTGAGAGGAAACTTCCTGCTGGACAGAGGGAGGGGAGGGAGGAAAGATTCTGCTGGATACTCCTACTACTACGCCATATTCAAATCTTTTTTTTAACATGTCTGTTATTATTTAAATCCCCTTACTATTTATGGCGTTAAACTCGGGATTGTTTTTGTTAATTGTGATAAATTACATTAGATCGTCACACCTTGATTCCTATGTGATTTTTTTCTAGTCCAACTTTAAAATCTGTACAACAATTATGACCAACAAACAACACTTCAGAATACATCTTTATTGTTTTGTATTTTTAACATTGTGACAAGATTTTTAAAAAAATATTTCAGTTTTAAAAGCAGCAAGGAATACAGTGCTCGTTCAACATGAACAAAAGCAGTCACAAATACAGTCTTGCATTCATGAAATAAACACTAGTAATGGCGGTCAAAGGCAGTGTGTGAAAGTGCTATATTAAAATTAAGACATTTATTTTCTCCGGTGGGTCTAAAATCCAACAACAAAAACAAACTTTTTGTCCATTTTTGGAAGCAGTCTTAACAAGTTTGGCTTGTTTGATGAAACCATACATTTAAAAAACTGGGACCATTGTTTTATGTTTTAATGAGTCTTTAGGGTCACACTTAATCAGTTTGTGTCCTTGGCTGCAAAAACATACAAATGCCCATTTTGATGCCGACCCTTTTTCTGTCTTTGCTAATTCTCTGCTATGGTCTTGACTGTTTAAAATGCTTGATCTACTAGTATTTCCCGTCAGACACAATCATCTACCAAGTTTGCTTGCATTGAAGTTCAACAGATCTAAAGTGTGGTCCCTAGATACTTCTGACTGTCAGGGCTTTCTGGTTCTCTATGGCGCCATAGCAAAAGAGCAGAGGGATTCATGAAAGGCTGCTGTCACTTCACAGGTGGAGAACAAAAGTCTGAAGCTCACAAACGCCTGTGCAGAGGCTGACTGTCGAAAGGCTTTGATGGGCTGTGCGGTGTCAACGCGAAAAACAACAAACTCGAAAAACAACAAAATCACCCAGAAGTGTCTTTCTAATGCCAACACACTGACTGATGTGACATAAAACCCAATGGTGATCACATAAGATGCGTGGGATACGGAGTATTCCAGTATTCTTGTTGTTGTCATGTAGCGCCCTCTACTGTCTGTTGTGAGACCTGCAGCATGTCCATGCAGCTTTGCAACTCAGCCACAGGCAATGGAGGATTAATACTCTGTGACTGCAACTGAAAATTCTCTATCAGCTCCTGAAATGACACAGAAATGAGAGAACAAAGTGAGCAAGACAGGAAAAACAGTCAAAAGAAAGTAAATTTAATAGTAAAATAAAAAAATCCCAAGGAATACATGATGACAGGAACACAGTGAACCCTCACCGCTGGCAAGGCCAAGTTTGTTAGCTTCTTCCAATGAGATATGACCTCCTCCTCGCTCAGGACTCCTCTGTCAACCAGCTTTCTAACCAGGAACAGGTAGTTGTTCCACTTAAAAGATAAAGAAATGCATTACAAAAGGTTAAAGGCTACAGAGTCAAAGAAATTAATTTGTAGAAATGGTTAAATGTAACAAAAAAATGTCACAAAACCAAATCCTTGATCTACAATGCTACAGGTTCAATAGAGGGACTTGCATACACATGTATTTGAGGGGAGCTGCAACAATTAATTAGTTGTCAACGACTGAATTAATAAGCAACTATTTTAATAATCAAGTAAATCGGTTTGAGTAATTTAAAAATAAATAAATAAAAGATCTGATTCTAGCTTCTTAAAAGTGACTTTTTTTCCATCTTTCTTTTCTCTTCAATGACAGTAAACTGAATATCTTTGGGTAGTGGACACTTATTATTTTACCTTTTTGACCATCTTTGACAGCTCATAGACCAAACAACTAATAGACTAATCAAGAAAATAATCAACAGATTAATTGACAATGAAAATAATTAGTTGCAGCCCTGTAAACATACAGGTACAAAAAGGAAGAATTAGTTATAGTCGCATAATTAATACTTTTGTATGAGTCATCAGGAGGTAGACATACCTCAGTGTCGCTGGCCTTCAGCACAGCAGTGACAGTGAGTGGGGTGAAGAGCAGGTGGAGGGGGGCGGAGGAACAGCAGTCCCCTTCCCACAGCTCAGCAAGCTGCTCCAGCAGCGCTCTGACAGGAGGTTCTGACCCTGAACCGGGACCTACAACAACCCCATCACCTCCGCTGCACCCAGTCAGAGACATTACTGGCAGCTCTGCAGACACTTAACAGATAGACACAACAGGCCATCAGGCATTTTACACAAAACATCAACTAGACTTTGTGTTGCTTCTATTTCCGCAGCATGGGAGCAATTTTAATAACACACCGTTAATGAAGTACAGGCAATTATAGGAATTAACCTGTTTACAGTTAATACATTGCATGCCTGGACTCTTACCCAGTTTGCAGGCCAGTAGAACAGTAGAGTTCAGTAGCATCTGTTCTGACACCACAGTTGAGAACTAAGTGAAGAGATAATAAGAAGAGTGTAAATTAGCAAAATTCAAAACATTCACCACAGGTGCTGTTTTGTTGCACTTGTGTGTCTCATGTACCTTTCTGCAGGCCAGTGTGTCTCCCACTCTCTGCAGCAGCATTTTGATCTGAGAGCCAGTCGGCAGCTCCTCATCAGTCCTGGGACCTACAGCAATGCTCAGCAATTCCTACATTAAAAGTTAAAGTCAAGTTTAAACAGACACTTTCACTTTAGTGAGAAGTGAGATTTATTCTTTGAAGCTGCAAGTTGTTATTCTTACATTTCTTTTCCACCGTTTCAAACTAAAAAAGAAAATTCAACCCCAAAACTCAAAAGAAAAAAAAGAAAACAAAAAACACAACTTTACCAGTTCTGCAGAGAACCAACTTGATGCAACTGTGATGTTCAGTGCAATTCCCCTACATGTATTTGCAGAAGCTATGTTTCCTCTCATACCTTCATCTCAACAAGGATGTCGGAGGGCAGTGAAGCATTGTGGTTGCAGTGTGGAGGGCAGGATGTCGCTCTCTGACTTCCTTGTTTCCTCTTGGGAGTGGTCGACTGCTCCTGGGTGACCAGCTCAGCCACAGCCCCCTCCACATCCCCCGAGTCTGGAGCCACAGAGCTACCCACAGCCTTAATCACACGATCATATTTGTTCTTCCACTCTCGTCTTATCAGTGCTGGTGGTGAGGAAACAGAAAGAAAATCTTAGCTGGATGTCCTCGGGGAACCTTAAATCACAGCACTGCTTTCTTTTTTCTTTTCATCTATAGTGGCAATGATTTTATGCAACACAATCTCTGCATCGCTGGGAGCTTTAAGGTTCATTGCTTTAAAAGGATCACACCATGTTTTAGCGCTTTCACTACATAGAGTGTAATGTACGAGCAGAAAAATAGTCTTTGCACAATTTAATCAGTCAACCACAATAGACCTGCAAACATAATACATATAAATATTAAAGTTTCACATCAAAACTGCTTTCAAGCTACCCTTCATTGTGGCATGAAAATCAACTTGCAGCAACATTAAAATAAACATAATTATTGGCCTCAATAATCGACCTTAATAAGAAGATATGGTAACTTCCATATTGGCTGTTGTTTTTTGTTGTCATACAACACTGTTCGTGGGGGCCAGCAGGTCAGTTTTTAGCACCACAGCAATCCCTGGCCTCATGCTGCCTTACATCTAAATGAGTTCAAATTAAATTTGTGAAAAGGAGGAGCACTGGTATTGAATAACTACTTGTGCTGTCCTACATTAAAGTTGCTTGACATACATAATTAATCTCAATAATCATAACAGCACGTCTGGTTTTGAATATTTGCAGAAAGAAGTGGAATACAAATAACATGCAACATGGAATATGTCTCATTGGTTGCACAAGTAAGTTTAATTTCTTAATATCACACTGAAAAGGATTAGGAAAAAATAGATGAAAAGAAGTAAGAAGTAGGCAAAACACATAGGAAATACTGTGCCCTGCATTGGAAATAATCTATTAAGATTGTACACAATTTAACACAGTAGAATCATGCAATAAGACAAGCACGGTGCATTAACTAGCTACCTGTGATGTTGGCGGAGAGCCAGCTGCAGGCCTTTTCTGTTGCAAGACGTTTGGTAATATTTTCAGATGTGGCCAGGACCTGCACAGAGACAATGAGTACATAACATTTTATCAGCTAGGTTTGCTTTGTAAAGTAAGCTGTGTCAACGTGCTTCGGGAATTTGAATGACCATTATTTTACAGGACATACAGCAGGGGAGGTCTCGTCGGGGAGCAGAATTCGTATGGCCTCGGGACTCTTCTCACAGCAAAATCTGCAAATTCACATGGAACAGAGATCATCACACAGAAGTGAAATGCTAATGGTGTGATGAGGAACCCAGATAGGGAAGTTCTTTTACCTCGAAATAAAAAAAACATGTTTTCTGCCAATGAAATGGCCATTCACTCTTGCATGCATATAGGCTGTTAAAAAAGGAACCTGTTGCTAATATCCAGTTAAATTGATGAAGTTAGAGGAAGACAGTTTTGCTGGCTGCTCATTAAAAAAAACAAAAAACTGTTGTACCTGGTGGCTCTTGCCAGGGCCTCCAATCCTGCGACACACAGCTGAGCGCAGATGGAGTCATTTAATTTAGAAGGATTTGAGTTTGGTGACTCGAGCCCGTCTCTCAGCATCTTCTCACCTCGCTCCACCAACTCACTCACCAATGTGGCTCTGTAGAGCATCCCCAAATAGATGTGAACACACAAACATGGACAAAACTCATACACATACTGTACAGTTAAGTTTGGATTATGTGAAAAATAGTTTTGATACATACCTTTATAATATACATCTACACAGGGTGGTGAATTCACACCAGGCACCACCCAAGTCTAATACATAAATTTGGACTGTTGAACAGTCACAAGCCTCTTAGACAGGCAACCAACCACAGTCACAGGCTGACTGACTGTTATTCTAAGATGTTATTTGGTGGAGTCGAAGTAATGTGAAAGATACAGCTGACTTCAGGATTGGTGACTTGGAAATTCAGACATCCATGACTGCTTATGCGCAGTTTATAAGGCCCAACCACCCCCAAGCTCTGTGATACTAACTTCATATGCTTGACGGCGTTGGATCCAACTCTCTCAGCTACAAACTCCACGGTGCGGCGCAGCGACGGAGGCTGGTTGTGAAAGAAGGCCTGCTCGAGGTCCACCTGTCACATTTAAGCGATTGGTTTAAATTCTCCTACACATGCAATTCAGTGATGCCATTCCACATTTCGCTTCACAACCTCTCCCCTGACTCACCTGCAGTTTCTGCTGCGACCTGTTGGCAGTTGGCGTATCCCTGAGCTCAGCAGAAGTGGGAGTGATCTTGCGGATAATTCCTCCACTCTTGGCTGTGCTTCCAGATACAAAGGCGGCTAGGAGCTTACGGAACTCACCTGGGCAGATAAAAACAAGGCAGAACATCGATGCACAGCTTAAACAAGTGCAGGTTACTTTGTCAATTTGTGGTGAACATATTTAGACCAAATGTGACCCAAGATATCCGGCTTCTGATTAACAGCCTTTTACCATTTCTGTAGAGAAGACCATAACTTGATTGTGAATTCCAAATTCATCCCGATGTATGAATGTGAGTGAATGGGGTAAACGTGACATTTTGTGTAAAGCGCTTTGAGTAGCTGAAGACTAGCATGGCACTATATAAGTAATAATAATAATAATAATAATAATAATAATAATCCTTATTTGTAGAGCACTTTTCAAAAACAAGTTACAAAGTGCTTTAACAAGTGTAAAGAATAATACAAAAAACAAGATAAGAGCATGAAAACATTGAAAAGACTAAAATACAGATTAATATAAAATTAGTAAAATACAATAAAATAAAAGGGATAAAATAAAGTCAAATAAGATCGGGGATGGCTCTCCTATAAAAGTATGTTTTAAGAAGGGACTTAAAAGAGTTCACTGACTTCCAGAGCCTCGGGGCCCTGACAGCAAACGCTCTGTCCCCTTTAGTTTTCAGTCGAGACTCTGCAACAGACAACAGACCTCTGCCCGAGGATCTCAAGGTACGTGCTGGTGTGTATGGGACTAAAAGGTCAGAAATATAACAAGGCGAGAGGCCATGAAGAGCTTTAAAAGAGATCAATAGAATTTTAAAGTCAATTCTAAAACATACTGGGAGCCAGTGTAATGAAGCTAAAATAGGAGTAATGTGGTCATATTTCTTTGTTCTGGTTAAAAGCCTGGCAGCTGAATTCTGGACAGTCTGGAGTCGATCAATAGATTTTTGGGTTAAAGAGGTGAAAAGGCTGTTGCAATAATCCAGGCGTAATGAGATGAAGGCGTGTAAAATGGTCTCGGTGTCCTTAAAAGTTAACATAGATCGAATTTTAGCTATATTTCTAAGTTGATAAAAACATGTTTGAACAAGCTTTGGCAGTATTTGCCATCTGCTGAGACCAGATGACCAGGATTTCTGTTTTGTCTGAGTTCAGCTGGAGGAAATTATTTGACATCCATTTTTTAACTTCACAAAGGCAGTTATTAAGTGAACTCAGCATTCCAGGGTCTGTGGATCTGACGGACAAGTATATTTGTGTGTCATCAGCATAAATATGAAAAGAAATGCCATGTTTATGGATAATATGTCCAAGGGGAAGCAGATACAAGGAAAACAAAATGGGTCCTAAGACCGACTCCTGAGGCACACCATATTTAACTGGACAGAATGAGGAGACATAGTTGTTTACAGACACGCAAAACTTCCTATTTGACAGGTAGGATGAAAACCATTCTAGGGCAGTACCAGAGATCCCCACCCAGTGCCTCAGTCTGTCTAACATGATGTTGTGATCAATGGTGTCAAAAGCAGCGCTAAGGTCCAGGAGTACAAGGACTGAGCACATGCCTTCATCAGCAGACATTAAAAGGTCATTGGTGACTTTAAGCAGGGCAGTCTCAGTGCTGTGGTACTTCCTAAAACCAGACTGAAACTTTTCAAATATTTTGTTATTTTACAGTACAGTGAGCAGCTGTTTGGACACAATTCTTTCTAGAATCTTTGCAATAAAAGGAAGTTTTGAAATTGGTCTAAAATTATGTGGGAGGGAGGGATCTAAACCAGGTTTCTTTAAAAGTGGGTTCACGCAAGCCGTTTTAAAATAATCAGGGACACAACCAGTAGATAGGGAGCTGTTGAAAACAGAGATCAAATGGGGCCCAACAGAATCTATTACTTTCAGTAAAAATTTTGTAGGTATTACATCAAGTGGGCTGGAGGACACTCTCATTTGTGATACTGTTTTTAAAAGCTCAGACAAGTCGATGGGATAAAACTGGTTAAAACTCTCTTGTTGCTGGTGAGGAACCTCTGAGTAAGAGGCAGTGGGGGTAATAGAGGCTCTGATTGACACCACCTTATTGGTAAAATAAGATAAAAACAATTCACAGTCATCATTACTTCCAGCTGAGGCACAAGGAGGGGTTGGGTTTACCAGCTGATCCACAGTCTTAAACAGAAACCTGGGGTTGTGTTTATGTGTAGTAATGAGTTCAGAAAAATAGTGTGTTCTCGCATCCTTAACCATGTTATTGTAGTTAATTAATAAATCCTTCAGACTAAGGTAATGGACTTGGAGACTGGATTTTTTCCATCTGCGCTCTGCTTTCCTGCATTCCCTTTTTAGGCTGCGAATGCTGTCATTTATCCAGGGTTGCTTACTAGCTTTAGACGTAGGCCTAACCTTTAGAGGAGCAGTAATATTTAGTGACGACAAGCAGAGATGATTGAAGTGATCGACCAGATTGTTGGTGTTGGAATCAGATAGGTGTTGGCTTTGGCTCTGAAAGAATGCGCAAAACTTTGAAACACTTTGTTCATTAAAGATGCGAGAACACACGGAGCTTGGTGAGGCGCCATGCGTAACAGGCGAATTGCAGCTAAAAACAATACATCTGTGGTCAGATATGGTCATGTCCACCAATTCCACAGAGGAAATGCTGACACCCAGGGTAAAAACCCAAGTCCAGTGTATGACCACGGTTATGTGTTTGCCCTTTGACATGTTGTTGAAGTTAAAAGAAGTGGCCATATTTAAAAAGTTAGTTGCATTAACATTGTTGGGGTCATCAACATGAATATTAAAATCGCCACAAAGAACAATTCTGTCATAATTTAAAACCAGAGTAGATAAAAATTCAGGAAGTTCTGATAAAAATCCTCCAGGCGGTTTTGGGGGGCGATAAATTATAACAAATATGATAGGTTGCAGCCCTCCAAGTTTAAGAGTGAGAACTTCAAAGGAGTTAAATTCATCACAGCGTACTTGATGACATTTTACTCATTTTGCTCACTAGCCCACCACCACGACCACTGACCCTCGGTTGACTAAAACAATCATATTGAGGCGGACACAGTTCAGATAGCTGGCTATAGTCATTCATTTGCAATCAGGATTCAGTTAAAAACATAAAATCTAGATTTGCAGACAAGATAAAATCATTTAAGATTAAAGTCTTACTTGAAAGTGATCTCACATTGAAGAGAGCCATTTTAAATGAGTTTGTTCTGGGTGCTGGAGTTGGTGCAGTTGTCCTAATCCTTAAGAGATTACTAATATTTCTGTGTGGGATGTGCACATTTCGGTTTACTGGGAGCAGACGGCTTTACATGCCAGCAGGTGGAGACAGTTGTTTGTGGCAGTGAGGCAGAGATCTGTTCAGTGAGTGGTGGTGTGTCCAGGTGTGCTGCATGAATGATTAGTCATTCACGTAAGTCATGTGTGGACCGCACCACATGCTGTATGTGCGCAGCTAACATTTCTGAGCCCCGTTTGTTTGGGTGAAGTCCGTCTGTCTTAAAAAGAGACATTCTTTGCCAGAAAATGTAACACAAACGATGAGCCCTGCAGGCGGACTGGAGCCAGTCGTGGAGGCCAAGGAGTCTACTGAAGCGGCCAACACCGCGACCAACTGTGTAGTTGTACAGTACAATACTGTAAGTACAGTACACTACAAAATATACATGTGAAACATTCATAAATGTGCCGTTAATCCATGTTTAACTCACCAAGAAACGGACAACATGTATAGAGAAGCTGCTGATCCACCAGGGGAATGCAGTCCTACAAAATAACAAGATACACCCTCAGTATACAGTAGATGATAAAATAGCAGTGGTTATTTTATGGAGAAAAACAACTGAATTTTTCACTTACAAGCCCTGCGGCAGTCGTGCTGCTGTCCTCCAGCCTGGCCACTTCGGTGAACTCAGTGGTGAAGAATATGTCCTCGGGAATCACTGGGATCTACCAAAGTTAAATATGCTAAGTTCAATTACATGAAACTGTTACGTGAAAGTTAAGGACTTTCAGAAAAACACAAAAGTTAGCTCTGTGGGTTCTTTTCTTCTACTACCCACTACTTACAACTACATTCAAGAAAACATAATATCCACAAGTCATGTCTCACCTGGAACAGCCAGCCCAACACAGACACCATTAGTAACTTGTTCAGGTAACACATTTCTTCACATCTGCCCAGCAGCATTCTCCTACAAGCAAACAAAAGTAATTTTTAACATATTATATTTAAAAAGAAAGAAAACATGTGTGTTTGAAAACATGATGTTTGTGACATGTCTATTAATTTTTCAAATGTTTTGGGTTAGTTATTTTCAGTGTGCTAGTGTATGAAAAATAAATGTATAATATATATTTAAAAATTTTAAGGACAATAAAAATTCTTACCTGTTTAACTGGAATTTATAAGAATGTGGCAAAACACTATTAAAGCGAAGAATATGCATAGAAAAGCTAACAGTAGAGTTCTTCTGTATGTGAATTGTTACACCACTAAAAAGTATGTTTATTTTAAATTTTACCGTCCTTCTTTAACACAAATGTTTATGGAATTAATTTGCAGAAATGGAGACCTGTACAGGAGGAGCAATGTGCCCAGTGCAGTTCTATAGCTGAGCAGCAGAGGACCAATACAGTCCAGCATGGAGAGGAACTCCACCAGCCAGGGCACAGTCAGGATGGTGCGCCTCCTTTTCATACTGTTACTCAGCACAGCACACACATCCAGCACTGGAACACACTTAGGGAACAAGAGTGACATGCATGGACTTTAAAGAGGAATTCATGATATTAAATAACTTTTTTTTGTATAGGAACAGTGAGTTCCCTTAACAGTGTTGACAGTGTGACAGTTGGGGGGACAGGTGAGAGGATGTGCTGTGCTAATGCGCTACGCCACTCTGCAATCAAATACGATTTTAAATAGGCCTAGTAAAAAAATAAAAAAATAAATAAAAATCGATCTGTGACCTGTGATCTTAAATGACATACAACTCACACATCTGGAAATTTACCTGCTCTATGTTAAACAGGCCACAATAATTCACTCATAAAAAAAATTTTTTCCCCCACTCACCTTGCTGCGCATGGCAATAGCAGTCTCCTGTATCTCCCTCGATGGTCTTTCAGATGTTTGGTAAGGCAGAAAGGAAATGAATCCCAGAAACTTAGCCAGAAGACGAGCGAGGAGCAGCACTGAGGTGAACCGCTGCTTCTCATCCTGATGGGGTGGAGTGATGGAGAGACAAAAAGTTAATACAGTGATTAATAGCATGTCGATCAGATTAGTCTTTTCTACATGTGGCAGGTTTGTAATTTTAGACTTTCCATGCTGAAATATTTTGTCTATTGTAAAAAGGTTGAAAATCAAAAATGGTTGTTCAACTAGCTAGTGTCAAACATTACCTGCTGCTCCATGTCCCCATCTCCCTCCTCCTCTCCCTCCCCGATAGTAGCAGGAGGGCTCTGTATGGACACCTCATCCAGCTGGAGAAGCTGCTGACACAGGCTGTCCTGCAAGTGCTGGTTGAGATGGCAGCTGGTACACAAAATGTTAAACATGTTGGATCACATAATCACAACAGACACTGTACAAACACTAAAAGTGCCAGGTTTTTCCAAGTTGTTGAGGAAAGTGTTTAATTTGGTTCAATGGGGACATTTATCAAATGAAAAATGGCTCTTATGAAAGGGAGATAATGAGTTATGTCCAATGATATTTTGGATTATTGATAATTAAGACATAAAAAACAACCCAGCCAAACATTTCATGAAACCTGAGATTTGACCCAAACTGAATTGTCAGGTTAAATAGTTCTATTATAAATTAAATATGTTAAGGCTAGGTGTAATTTTTATATTTTTTATATGATTTAGTGTAATTGGTGGTATTTGCTTGGATGTTTGGTACCAGCTAGCAGTCTGCAGGAAGTCCCTGAAGAACTCCTGGTGACCAGGGAAGGATGGAGGAGGGCAAGGGCCAACGACTCCATGAGGTTGAATGAGACGCTCCTCAAGACGCTTTAAGCGCCCCAGGCTGTCAGCTCCAAGCATGCCTAGCAGGTCAGCATCAGGAGTCTCCGCAGGAGAGCTGTTCACACGTGGGCCTTTACACATCTAAATATAAGTAAACCAGATTTATTGTGTAACTGTTATATGCCACTGTTTACTGTCTTGTAGAGGAGGAAAACAAGAAGCCACTGAGGTCTGCTTTGTTATTACTGTAAATAAAAGTCCATTTGACATAATTAAGAAGCATTTGTGTCAGATCTATGGTGTAAGTGTGAATGAGGTGGCAGTCTACCTGAACAAGCTGCTTCAGAAACAGACGGGCAAAATGGGAATGGTTTCCTGCAGAGGTCAACTGACCCATCATTCCTCTAAAAAAATAAGATAAAAATGGTAAAAAAAAAGAAAAAAAAGAAGTTCAGATATAATTTTTAGATTAATACTGGTCCATAAGCTATAAAAATAATGAAGTTAATTGGATTACCTTATCCTACTTCCAAGAGCAGTGTCAAAGTGCCAGCCCGGTTCCTTGTGAAAGTCCTCCCATTCTCGTAACACCTCATAAAAAATATCTCTGAGAAAAGGGCAAAAACATCAAATTCAATACTGAAACTGAGTCTAGACATTTAACCCGATCTGCTACACATATCATCAACTGTGCATCAACTGTCATACAGGTTGTTTTTACTGGTCCCAAAGTGATCAGGCAGCTTTATAAAAGAACTAAAGAAATTGTGACATACCTCTGTTTTTTAAAGGTGTGGAAAGCCTTGTCACTACCAAAGTTGGACCGATTGTCAGTAGAAGGCTGGAATGAGACTGAGTGGATGAAAGTGGAGACTGAAGGAGAGAGCTGAAACAGATGATGAGGAATAAAAACATATCAATTAAACTTGTCGTGCAGAACAGTTTTAATCTCTGAAGAATATAGACAGATTATGAATATTTGTAGGGATTAATTAAAACAAGGATTCTAAGAAATAAATTAAACAGTAATATATTTATTAAAAACATTAATAGGGCTGCTGCAACTTAAATCTATTATCTGCAAAATATTTTCTCAATTAATTATTTTAACGTTTGGTCTTCAAAGAATCAGAAAACAGTTTTTAAAAGTTCCTGTGAATGCCAGTGAAAGATTTAGTATAGCTCAAGGTGACATCATTAAATGTCTTGTTTTATCCTACCAATGTCCAGAACCCAAAGATATTTAGCTAACTAATGTCACTCAATGAAAAGTAGCCAATTATCCCATTTGAGAAGCTGGAAACGGCCTAATGTTTGGTATTTTTGCATGAAAAATACATTAAAAAGATTGATCATTATTAAAATAGCTGCAGATGAATGTACCGGCAATCATCAAATCAGTTCATTGACTAATCGTTGCAGCTCTGAACATTAAAAGATATCCATATTTTAGAACAAGTACCATCTTAAAAAGGGCATGGTATACTGGGATTATATTTTTAATAACATGCATAACACTCAGGGAATAATAAGCACTTATAGACAATGCAGTACAAGTGTGTTACCCTGGCTGTGCTTGTGTCCTGGGCCTGAGTCAGACGGTCCCTGAGATCCGGAGAGAAAGACGCCACCCTTTCATTCTCTGCCAGCAGACGCAAGGTACACTTGTCCAAATGAGTTACTAACCTAACAAGAATACATGGCTGTTAGAGAAGAAGGAGAAAATGTAGGAAAACCATGACACAAGATATAAAACAACTCACTGAAACTGATTCTCCAGAACTTTCACTGCAAAATACACACAGTTGTGTACTTGTCTCAGGTAACATCTCTCCAGAACATCTGAAAAAGTAAATTTCAATTCAAACTAAAGTTAACAAACCATAATATTTTGACGTCGGAAGAATTAAGTGACATAAAAACTAATTACAAACCTGAATTCACTGCACACAAACTTTCCTGTTCATCAGCATCACGAGTGTGAGGAGACTGACACGTTAGCAACTGCATCACAAAGAAAAGCTCCAGGAAAATGTTTGGCACCAGGTTTTCTGTAAGACATGATAACACAAAACACAAGCTTTTTGTATTTATTCCTAAAGCATGTTAACTCCAAAATGATTTATTTTCATGTTTTAGATCTGACTTAATGATTATTTATTTTTGCTTTACTCTCTGTAAATGTATTTAATTATCTTACAAAGTGATATATAAATACATTAAATTTACCTTCCCCCCCACACAATTTCTATACCTAGCACAGTAATGCCGCCTTGTGACCACTTACCAGAAATGCAGGTACAGTACAGGTCTGCCAGGAGATCCAGTTCCAAAGAGAAGGTGACTTTGGATGGTTCTGGACAGGGTGTCTGCAGATCTGGTGTAACTTTAGACCCCGCCCTAGGCCCAGTCTTGGTAGGGGTGCAAGGGTCCAGAGAGGACGGCAGAGGAGAGCCAATCTGCTGGGCACGCTTTGTCCTAAAAACAAGACAAGAAACAGCATAGAAACTAAGATGAGGAGCAAGTGATGCTGCAGTGAAGCCAAAAGAATATTAATTATTAATGAGGAAAGAAAGAAACAAGATATTGTGATATATGTGCAGAAATCTGTAAAATAATAGTATCATAATGGGTGTATCGAATATTAATTTCAATATATATATATATTCTTCTATAATGTAGAATGACAAACAGCAGAAGGCATGTCAAAGGTCAAAAACCTGCCATTTCTTCCACTCCTTAAACTCATAAAATGAAAGGTCAATTTTCATATCAGAATAAGTAGAATCATTTCTCGTGTGCACGTACTTTTCCCTCTTTAGTAGCTCCCTCTCTTCCTGCAGACTCAGAGGACTGCCTACTGTCACTGACCCCTCAAGAGCCTCTGCAACTAACGGGGGAGTAGAGGGTTTACTGAATGGGGTGGAGGTGAAGCAGGTCTTTGGTTTGGAGTGTGGCCGCTCAGCACCGACTGGTGTTGGGTTTATTCTTCTAGATGGTTTGGATGCCCTGAAGGAAAATGTGTTGTGAAAACTGTTACAAAAATGTGAAAATCAATGATGAGTCAGTGTTGACTTTTGTTTAACTGAGAGTTGGGTGGACTCACGCGGGTGAAATGGGTGATGACCCAACAGGAGGGAAGTCCTCCAAGTTGCTGAAGTTGAGCTGGTCCACAGATGGAGGTGAAACCTGTTGGCTTATCTTACTGTTTCCTCCTCTACCTGACCTCCTCCCCCCACTCTCCCACCGTCCAATCTCATCACTCTGATGTCCTCCACGCCCTCCTCCGTGTTTCCCTTGTCCCCCCACTGTCAGGCTGCCACCGCCTCTCCTGCGGCCCTTCTGTGACTGGACAGTGGGACTCTGCTGGAGATCAGAAGGAGAAATTATGTAGTCCCCCAGACTGATCCTATGGCCAGAGCGGCGCTCAGAGCCTGAAGGCCTGGAGGAGGTGTTCCATGCTGAAGTAAACGAGGGACTGCTGAAGGCATTGACCCCACTCAGACAGTGGGACCCCGACTGACCAGAAGCATCCCACTCTGATCCAGGTGAGACAGAGGAGGCAGGAGAAAACAGCTGGACCCGGCTGGCACTCCGGGAACCAGCTCCGCCACCAGCAGACCTGCAACCTCTCCGGTCAGTGAAGCCCTGCGTCTGTGCAGCAGGTCTGGGGCAGCTGGGGGTCTTGGCCGGCGTTGCAGGGCCATGAGTTAGTGCTCGGCTGCTCTGCTCTCTCAGAAAGTTTAAAAGAAATGGGACAAATTCTTGTTTGTGAACGGCCACCCCGGGTTCACCCAATGCCAGCCTCTCAACTTCCTGTTGAAAAGAGAGACATAACTGTTGGAAAATGGACTGTGACAAATAGAATATGTATAAAGCTTAATTCGCACAGATGATCAATGCTATCTAATCCATGATGAACACAAAATACAACACGATATACTTTATTGTCCGTGTGGGGAAATTCATTTTGGGCTCCGTCATACTGCATATTACAAACAATAAATCATTTAAATTTAACAGAAAAACAGACATCCGAAAAAAACTATTTACCAAGTTGCCACATTGCACAATTATTGCTCAAACCCCTCTATTGCACTCCTAACAGTATTACACAGGAAGGTAGAAGTATATTGCACATAGACTATTTTAAGTCTGTAACAGACTTTTTATGAAAAAGCTATTCAAAAAGGGCACAAATCAATTATTAAAACAATATTCTGCTGGTAAAAGCTCGTACTCAGAGTGACGGACATGGGATGGATGGTCAAGAATTCTCTGTGCTCCTCTTAGAACATGACTGCCCATAAATTGTTTGGAGGGGTCGTCTTCTTCCCTACCCATTATGTTCATGGCAGTCTTTGTGAGTTGAGCCAGTTTGGATTTAGACTGCACAGATAAGACTGCCATACCATGCCTGTATTCTATCATTCGTATTTTATCAGACTTTACAGCACTGCCTGAACATAAGCATACGTTTCTCGTCCACCCCGTCCTCAGCAAGTATAATCTCATCTGGAGTCTGGTGTACAGGCTATCAAAACATACATTTGCCAGGTGAGTATATTATCAGAGTGAATCCCCAAGTACCTAAATGAGCAAACCTGTTTAATTTGTGCGTTATGGATAACCGCAGGACTGTGATCACCTATTGGTTTTGGAATATAGAGAGTAAGTTAACTAGGTCATTAAATGTTTTGCTGGACAGCTTCTGGCATTTCAGCAGAAAATTGCCAGTTGACCTAGCTAACAATGCGCTGACAAACATCTGCTAACCTGCACAGCCCTCTTCAGACAGTATTAATAATAACAGTAGCAAGCAGCTACAGTAAGTTATAATCTGTTTTAGTGAAAGATTTTCTCTTGACTTATAGGGAAGTTGACAACGTAGTCTGGAGTCCATCCCATCCGGACTGTAGCTAACATAGCTCGCTAGCTCTCCAGCTAAAAGTTTTGTTTACAATCAGTTGTGAGCTATGTCATCTCATAAAACACGCTATACTAAGGCAAGTGCGTATCGGGTGTCTCACTCCTGTGGCAACTAATCACTTCGGACCAACCTCAACATTCTTCAGCCAGTCCAAGACCGTATTAACATCCGCTTTCTTCAGCAGAAGAGATTCCAAAAGAGCCGCCATTCTGGTGAGGCGCTGCGCGGCTAAAGGACTGAGGGAAGCGGGGCGGGGCCAGTGTGTACGCACACGCGTACTGCGTATGACGTTTGCCAACGACGTTGACAAGATGACAGTCCTTTCTTTAAATAAAGATATAGAGCAGGTGTCTCAAACTGGAAACATGTGGGACCTACTGGATAGGTTGTTCTCCTAACTCTCTAGCTCTTGGATAGAAAATTGTCCAGAGTTGTGTTTTTTTTTCTCTTCAATACATTTCAACTGTCACTGAAGAAAAAAACCCACATACCTGTATTTTTGCTTTACATGTTTAGTAGAGTTACGCTGCTGAGGTTGCTTCATGTAGAATGGTCTGTGTTAGGGATTAACTAGTTACATGAAATTTATTTACGTAATTTAATTGCAACATGTTAATGGAAAAAATGTGTAATGAAATTACAGTTACTCATGAAAATGTTCATGATTACATTGGAGGTTACTGAAAAAAATTTATTTTGTTGCTTTGCATGTTTGTTTGTTTTTTGCTATTTCCAGCCACAGTCGTTTTGTAAGTTTGATGCTATTCTGATGCTTTTAATTGGTTCTCATGTTTGAATTTGCAATGCTACCCATATGGCAGTTAAATTGCCTCTCAAGCTGTCTTTTGAAAATGGTAAACAGCTGAAAACATTCATTAGAAATTTAGAAAAGTAATCAAAAAGTAATTAAATGTAAGAAGTTACATTACTTTAATGAAGTAATTGAAATAGAACTATAATAGTACTATTGAAAAACTGCTATTACCTTTTAAATAGGGTAACTTGTAATCGTTAATCTATTACATTTCAAAAGTAACCTTCCCAACACTGAGAATGGTTGCTTTGTCATGGCAGATGAGATAGGTAGCAGTCACATTAAACTCCATTAAAAAATGCTTAATTTTTCTTAATTTTTCTGCTTAATAATGAAACTTAGTGAAGATCAAAGTGGGGATACTAAAGAAATTGATTTGCATAAAACCAGGGCCGGATCAGTTTGATACCCTTGATTTAGGAATATTTAATTGATTTAGGTTACAGCATACAGTTAAACCGCCCTATTACAACCTTTGTGTCCTCCTCCAGTGCCCAAACATTTCAAGATTAAAAACAGAAACCTTTCACAAGATTCTGTCTGCATGCGGAATGAGTATTTTATTTATAACCAGTTTATAAAAATAAAATACAAAATAATTTTAAAACAAAAAAGAACAAAAACACTGTACAAGGCATTGATATGATACAAATGATAGAATAAACATAAATAATTACAGTTATATACAATGCAAAACTCCCACTTGTTACATTCTTTCCTTGAGACTGTACAGTTACATTTCAAAACCATGACATACATTACAACACAAAAATATCAACCATTAAAAATTTCTAACAATTGAAGTCAAAATGATGGATCAGCAAATAAGCAAATGTCACATTAAATCATTTCAGTCAAGTATCTATAAGTTACTAACAAGTAATCCAATGCTATGACATGAGAAGTGTACTAGTGCACACCAAGGCTTTATTAGTTTCTATTTCACCTTTTAAAATAAAATAAAGCAGCTGGGTTTGTTCTATTGGCGTATGGTATCTGTAACCACAAATTCCGACAAGCTACTATAAATATGACACCTTTCTATGAGCAGGCCACTTTAAAAAAAGTGACAAAGAAAAATTCATCTGGAAGGTATCACTAGTACTACAGCTACACACCACTTATGTGCAATAATTATGAAAATAAAACATAATAAGAATCTGATTATCTTCTAAAACCAGCAGCACTGTTTAGTGTCTGTTCCTCCCTTCCACCGAAGCCTGTTAGCATATAAGTTATGGTTTTACAATAATTATTTTTATTTAAATAATTACTTTGAATATTTTACAGGTACATATTAAAAGTCTGCACAACAGCGTTCTAAACTTTGAAAGCTTGAAATATCTTGAAATCGGTGAGCCTGAAATAGAGAGTTGAAAGAGGGAGAATTCAAAGATTGATTGCTGGCGACGTGTCAAAATTGCACATCCCTGTTTGAGAGCATACACTTATCACCCTAACAAACACACCTTGAATACTGAACCCTGAAATTCTCCAGTCAATCAATAAAAGGCTCAAGCATTCTCACAGAAAAACAGCGAGCTCTCCAGTCGAAGCGCAGCTTTGTAAGCACAAGAGTCTGACAGCACTGATTTCAGATGGGATATATTCACCACACTGACTGGCATGGTAGTACATGCCATTCACAGGCAGGAGAGAAGTGATAGGAAGGCATGGCTTGGCCTAAGAGTGGAATGATCTCCAACACAGACAAGGCTCAGTCATCCCTCGCTACGCACAGAGGGGCAGAGAAGATACATTAAGGCGACTGACTGACTGAACGCTGTCTGCCTTCAGGATGAGTCATCATAGCTGCTCTGCGAGGCTAGCGTAGGTATCTGCAAGATCTGCAGGAGTCAGACGAAACAGCACATTTCATATCTACAAAGCAATTTCACCCATTCAGTCTGTATTCCCTCCAATATTTATCAAGTCAAACCACATCTGCAAAATTTATCAAAATATTTGGCAATGTGATTAGTTTTTTCCGTTCTCCATGTGTATAGCCATAATCCCATAAAGGCTATGACTGATATTTATCTTTCAACTGCTGCTGTTTCCTACAGTAGTGCTTAAAACGCAGCACAGTCTATTCTCCTTTTTCTTTTCTTTCTGGTAATTCTTATGTGCATCATGTCAGGTAGTTGCACTGATAAAAATACTGTCTATCATTCCAACAGCAACACAATCATCCCAAGTCAGTGCAGGAAGCACAGAAAACTCGTCAACAGGTGGGGGAGAGGATCAGTGAAAGATGGGTCAGAGAAAATACGCAGATGCACAGAAATTAAAACGGCTCACCCAGCAGGTAATGAAGTCACTGCCAAGTTTAAATCTTCACAAGATAGATGCTGTGTGATGGGAAGCTGTATGCAGCTTTTTACTCAGTAGTTGATTCTGATTTTTTTTTTTTCTGTGTTGAGCATGCAAAGCGTAGCATTGGGAGGAAGCTGGAGTTATTGTACAGTATCTTACAAGCAGAGGAGTGGGAGGAGGTTGTGGAGGAGAGTTTCAGTGAGGAATCCTAACTAAATTAAACACAAACAAATACTCTAATTCTTTGCCTTGTGCACAAATATACTGTGTCATTATTCTCTGGCTCAGGAGAAACAAACAAAAATAACCAAAACATTCTTGCACATGGAAGCATGGAACATCATTTTGGTGTGAGAAATATGTGTACATATGGCCTCCATTTTCTAATAACATTTGACAAAATGTTGTTTGAGGTCTGAAATTCACATTTCTTCGACGTTTTATCTCCAACACTGACCTGGCGTACAGGACAGTTAAGTGAGGTGTCACTTGAAATATTTCCTTTTCGTAATTACAAAGAATGGCTACTCTGTCATCAAGTAAACTGCTGCTCAAATTGTGTTTGATTTATAAACATTTGTGTTGCTACCTTTTCTACATAAAAGAATACTGGTAAAAAGGGTCGTCTTATAACGGCTGGCACAAGTTTGTTTTTGGCTCCTTTTTTTCTAATTACAAATAAACCAAAGAGAATCCTTGAGCTGCCCAAAGTGCCAAGGCACACATTGAGACAAACATCTGTGTCTGAACATTACTCATCAGTAATGTACCTTGTGTTGTTTAAGCTTACTACTGCTGCTACAGCTACCACTACTGGAAAACACACGTTCCATCAATGCCTTCAGCTCTAAAAAGTTTTCACAATCCTAACTTGTAATCCCTTCCTTCAGGGTACATTTTGATTCCCTCTTAGCAACACAGTAGGCACAAAAAGGTGTGTGTCCTCACGCACTTTACATGATTGATTGTATAAAAGGGTCACTTTGGAGTGAACCCTTCGATTAAACATTTAAAAACTAATGTGAGTGACACAAAACCAACAACCATACATACAACATCACACAGAAGAGGGCAGGAGTCCTAAGCATCGCTAAGCATCAAAATAAATATCTCAATAAATACAACTGTACACAAATTCTGGCTTTATGCTAACACATTATTAGCATAAAGTAAATATTATACCCTGCCTGCCATCTCCAAATACAGAGGAGACAACTGAATCAACCCCAGGCCAAAATTTTATTAAGTTGTGATCAGCTATACTGATACTCCGTCAGTATAATCAAGTGCATTAATACTAAGGATAAATAAGTTACATTATGTGGTGGTGCAGGATGGATGAAGATGAATAAACAGGAAAATGATTTATTTATGTGCCCACTGGCCCAACCAACTATTGATTATGTATTATAGTAATGCCTGCATTAGGAAATTACTGTCTACATTTTACAGCTATATTATTTTGCTCTACAACATGATAATATAAATAAAATGAGGACCCTGACATGTCAACATTGCTTGTTTGATAAGTTATAAAAGGGCACTCCACAGATTTTAACACATAAAGGTCAGTTTACTCGCCTTCAGCCTTCTTTACAAACTGGAGACATGGGGATTGAAAGAAGTGGGCACTTACAAGATAGAGGGGCCGTGATGAAAGACGCAGTCTTGTTGCATAATGGGAAATGTAGGAGCCAGCATTTTTGGAGCTTAGCAGACTAAAGGTTCGGATATCTCAGATTCATTCTTTTTCAAGACTGCCTCTCAAAAGTCCAGCAACTTTTTAGATGTGCAATACAAAATTGCTGGAGTGCCCCTTTAAAGCTGGGCACATAAATGAATAACAAACCCTGTGTGCAAATAGTGAAGAGAACAGTGGGAAACGACGAGACAAGTGTAAGTCTCAGACGGACAGCGAAAATGGGGATACAAGATGTTTTTTTAATTATACAGGAAGACTCAGGCTTTTATCCCTACTGCGGTCCACCCTATCATAATGGGAGTCTTCCCGTCCTCTGCTGTGGCAGCGCAACCTGGTGGGCAACTATCTGCTCAACTTGCTGGAGCACTTGCCCTCTCGGCTACAGACTTTCCCCCTGGGCAGGTGGAATGGGCCTGTGCGGGCCTGGCGGCTACAGCAAGTCTCCTGGTGGTGAGGGTAGAAGCGGCGGGGAGGTGGCGAGCCAGAAAAGCTTGGGGGCGAGCGGCTGCGGCCCAGGCAGCCCCCTCCACCGCCGCCACGGTGCTCGTGGCGGGAGGGCGAGGAGCTGACGGAGCGCTGCAGGGAGGAGGAGCTGCGTGGGGATGCGCTAGAGCTGCGATGGTGGTGCGGAGAGCTCGTCAGGCTGCAGATGCCCATCCTGGAGCCCCCGTGTTGAGCTGAGGAGCGGTGGTGAAGGGGGGAGCCTCGGGAACCATGCATCAGCTGAGCAAGGCATGTCAAGAGGTCTGAGTCACTGTTGCTGCCAGCTCGAATGCGGTAACGCCTAAGCCTAAGTGGGTACAAAAAGCAGGGCAGGTTATGAATAAGAGCCAACTCATATATTTCAAAGCAAACCAGGGAACAATGTGATGAATCAAATTTCTTGCAGAGAGACGAGAGGATCCGTGTCAGTTTCCAAAGCTAAGCCAGTCAGCAGTTGTCTAGCTTAGCTTACCATAAAGGCTGGAAGCTAGGGGAAACAGCTAGCCTTGCTTTGTCCAAAGTAAAAAAACGCTTCCCAAATTTGACTAATTTACACATATTAACGCATATTTTTAATTTGTACATAAACAGAAATGTAAATACAAGAAGTTGTGGTTTTACAGATAATATTCCTGGGCCAGGAAGGCTCCACAAAGTCACTTCGCCTAACCAAGGAATAGTTCCAGCACAGTACAAATTAAACAAGCAAGATACGTATTACTTGGCAGATTTCTTATAGCTTTGGACAGTGCCAGGCTAGCTGTTTACCCCTGCTTTAGTGTTTCTGCTAAGCTAAGCTAATCACCAGCTGGCTATTGCTTTATATTTAGCATACAGACCCGAGAGTGGTATCAATCGTCTCATCTCACTATCAGCAAGAAAGCAAATTAATTATCCATAATGTACAACAAAAATCAACCAGTGAATTTAATGCATTTTCTTGCATGCTTTTTCTTTCATAATGTTCATCATACATGCCTTGAAAACAATAATGGTTTGGGAATTAATCAATTTTTGATCCATGAAAGCAAAATATTACCTGCCCTCCACTGTGGGGCGGCAAGGTGGCTTTCCAGGAGGTGGCCGTGGCAGGAATTGGGCAGCCAGCTGCTCAGCGGAAGAAGCTGAATGAACAGGACGAGGGATTCTGCTCTTTCGGGACAGAGGGCTGGAGGAGGAGGACAGGGAAGGAGCATCGTCTCCCTGGCGGTCCGAACGGGAGCCCATAAGAGAGTCCTCTTCCTGAGAACGGTCAGAGGTTGAGGACAGCGGGTCCCTGGCAAGGGAGGCCACCATGGGGCCACGCCTATCAGAGAGGGATGGCGAGGCAGTGGGAGAGGGGACCAGGCCCTGGTGGCTAGCTTTCTTCTGCAGGAGCTTCTCCTTCGCAGACCCTGGAGGAGGGAGCTCCAGCAGTCTGGAAGGCTCCAGGACTGGGATGCGACTTTGCCTCCGGCTGGGGTCCTTACGGGGAGCAGCCGGGGAGGAGGAGGTTGGGCCACTAGTGTCATCTGGGGCCTGATTCACTTCTCTGCTCTCTCTTAGCTGAGGCTCTGTGTCACAGGGACTGTGGCCATAATCATTCTCAGCGTCTTTCATCTTGGAGAATGCTCCGTTACTTAAATCCCTTTGGCCATTAACAGGAGGGGAGAAGTGGCCATTGGCAAACACAGCACTGTGAGGGGAGCGTGGAGAGCATGGGGAGGAAGGCGTGCGCGGAGGAGGCGAGCGTGGAGAATGGGGGGAGCGTGGGGAAGACACGTGGCTTGGCACAGGGCTTTGAGCTTTGGCGTGGTTGTTTCCATTGACCAGCATCTCAGCCAGGGGGTCTGTGGGTGTCCCTGGATGGGTAAGCACATGGTCCTGGGGGGAGCTGATGTCTGTTGTACGCTCCTGGACCTGCTGAGCCTCAGTTTCAGCTTCACCATGCCTCTCCAGCAGGAGGCACTGTGGGGCACTGTCTGATCCTGACTGGGAGGAAAGCACAGAGGGACGCTGAGCTGTCAACTGGAGGGGAAGGGGAGGTGGAGACATGGGAGGAAAGAAAAAGACACACAGATGTTAATAAAAAAATAAATCACACTAAAATGGGAATAATGTTCTAATTGTCAAAGGCCTGTTGCTGATAGACTACAACATGTCGAGTTGTGCTGTAGTTCTGTAGCAAGAGCCTGATACAGATGTGTGAAAAGGGAAGAATTGTATAATATGGGGTAATAAATGGTGATTAGTTTGGCAACAGCATGCAATACCATAGCTACCATTATCAGACCGAAACACACAAGTGCTATGGCAGTGTCAGTCAAGCTGTGAGTACTAAACCAGCAAGTAGGACAGGAAACGTTCACGCAACTTCGCAGGGGGCTTCAGCGAAGAGAGGGTGAGGAACAAATACAGGGAGAGAGAGAGAAAGAGAAAGATAGAGAGGACAAAGACGATCTGAAACAAAAGAGACCATGCAACCTGTAGTCATGACTCGACATTCCAAACATACATGCCACAATCAGACAAACACACACCCCTATTCAGATCACAAGAACACATGTCCAGACACAAGGACACATCTGACCCATGCTCTGCCTGGACTTCACAATGCCCCTCATGGTTTCTGGAGAGAGCTGCCTGACAACAACACAAAAAAGCAAGCCGACTGTACAAAGAAGCCAAAATAAGCAACTTAAACAAACAAAAAAGAAAGAACAAAAATGTTGAAAGCCGGTGTATCGCTACTGATGCAGAGGAAGCTGAATGGAGGTCGGCTTTTTTACGGGATTGTGATGGGCTCATCACCTGTTGAAGCTGGGCACGGGTGATGCGTATGACAGAGGGAAACTTGGTGTTGGCAGCACCCGCCGGGATGGCTGGCAGTTTCCTGCGACTGGGCGAGCGGGTGCCAGGGGCAGGGTTTGGTGGAAGTGGTAGGGAGGCGTGGCAGGAGGAGGAAGAGGAGGTGCGCTCCTGCTGCTGCTGGTCAACGGACAGGCTGCGCCTCATGCTCAGTGGCTGGCGCAGGTGCAGCGGGTCCGACAAGGTGGTCAGGAGAGTGTGAGGGCTAGGAGAGCGCAGAGGGATGGGGCTGGATGTCCGGACCGCAACCTCCTCAGGCAGGGATGGAGGAGAGGTGGGGAACTAAGAGACGGGAAGGAGAGAAGTGGGGGGTTGAAAGAGGAGGGGTTGTGAGATTGGTGAGGGAGTGAGAAGATGGAGGAAGTGCGGTGAGGTAGGACAAGCCGAATGCACCAGTTCGGAGCACGATGTCGAGCTGTTAAGGTAAAGCGACGGGAGGATTATAAAGATAAGGGGACAATCTTAGGGAAGGAAGAAAGAGGCGAGGTAGGTCGATTTTTGGAAGGCAGTGCACATTTTCAACTTGGAGGCAGTTCTGGTTGTAGGAGAGAGTGAGTGGATAGTTATTTCTCTTGTAGAGAAAAAATTTGTTCTACAAATTAAGTAAAAGGGATTTATGTTGAACTTGTAGATTGAGCAGGATATTGAAATTCGACTCGGTGGGCTGGTTGAAGGTAATAAATCGAGCAAAAAATTAATTAAACTAAGCAAACCAAAGCATATTTTGGAAATAAATGATTTCACTTGTGAAGTAAATAATACCAACCAAAGACATTCCAAATGTCTGAAAATAAGATAAAATAATACATGATATCTTATGCAAATCAAAGTGCATTTCAAAGCCATAAGCTCTCCTTTTCCCCATGCTGTGATCTGATAAAAAGCTCTGCAGTTGTGACACAAATATGTTTTTTTTACAAATAAACACAAGCGAAGAAGCGAAGCAGTAACATCTAACTTCACACTACAGCAAGATGCAGCTGGTGGACCTATGATATTAGCATTGATGTTCTATTTACCTAGAACTCTGACTCTGTACAGCTTTTTAACATTGTAAAATGCTGACTACAGTCAGTACCATGTATGCCATGTTGTGAGTTGGTCTTCAAATTAAAGGGCTTACCTGAGTGAGAACTCCCTCAGCCAGAGCTTCCGCTGGGCTGGTTGGAGTGACGGGGGGCAGAGCCCCTGCAGGGCCCACGCTAAGCTCCAACTTGTCCACTTTTGCACTTCCCTTGGAGGAAGCCATGCTTTCTCGTCTAGCTTTTCCAGGGTTAGGACTAGGGCTGCCCTTTTCCCATCCAGGAGACTGTTCCCCTGGCTGGAGCACTTCCAGCTCCCCATCCTCCTCCGAAGGGCTGGTGGTAACCTTGGCTCCTGGAGAGCCACTGGGCCGCTCAACCATTACCCACTCCCTTGAGTCAATGTCCTGCCTCCCAGAGCTCAGATTGAGGGCCACAAAGCCCCCGCTACTGACTGCCCCCTCTCCCTGCTCCAGAGATCCACAGGATGCTGGCTTAGGAGAACCACCACCAGACCGGAACTCCTCATCATAGTGCCAGACCCTATCAGGACGCTCCCCGGCAGCTTGACCCTGAGTTACTGGGATGACTGCATGCCCGTCAGCCTCCTTATCCTGGTGCTGGGTGCCAATCTGCTGTTTTGGTGAACTAAAACAGGGGCAAGATAGGTGCCAACAATCAACTCTCTGCTATATCCTACAGAAATCTTTGAAAAAACAGATCGGTTACTTGACAGACATACCCGCCCTCCAGGAAACGCTCTGGACTGGGCTTGGACTCTAGGCCAAGCCTCCTCTCCAGCTCAAAACTGTGAATGTTGCGGAGCTTCCTCAGCAGAGGGGCATCACGATCTGAAGCCACCACCTCAGGGTGCAGTTTGACTGGGGATCCCAGGCTTGGCCCAGCATAAGGGCTCTGGTGTCCTTGGTTACCCTGGTTGTTGCTGTGTTCCTCCTCAGTTGACGCCTATGGAAACCAGTCAGTTTTGTTAGTTATTGATTAGTGATTAACTAAAATGAACAGCTGGATATAAACTTAGGTATCAATTTTCTGAATGAGAGCGCTTGAAGTGATAAAACTACACCAAAGTCTACCTTCCAGACTCCAGTCCTGATGCGGTTACGGTTGCGATCCAGCTCCTCCCAGACGTCAGCTTCTTGGTTGCGGTGTGGGTGGAGCGGAGAGCCCGGCAGGCGCTCTGGGGCTGGGTTGTTCTCCACATCACTGAGCTGCTCGTCCTGCAGGACCTCATCTGTGTTTTCCCTCAGCAGGTCGCCAGGGATCAGGGAGGCATTCGCCATACTGGGGCAACACAAGTTTCAAACATTACTTCATATTTACAGCATTATAAGACAGTGCAGGCAACCATTCAGAGGCAGGTGTACAATTTCAACATGTGTAACTCCTGAATTAACTCTAATGAAGTGTATTTATTCCAACCAAACATACCCCATGTGTGCCGGAGTGAGGCGGGTGTGATGTTGCGGTGTCGTGGCAGTGGCACTGATTGTCAAAGTGCCATCTGTGCCGGTCCGCTCCCAGTCATAAGGGTCATTCTCCACAACATTGTAGGTTTTCATGCTGTTGTCAAACACTGACATCAGCAGCTGTAATGACACAAAAATACAAAATAAACGTTTTTGTAAGTTTTTATTCAGTGAGATGCAAGTCCACAGAAAATAGGTTTTAAACACACGTGGTGCTTAAAGACAGGCACATAACACATAGCAACTTGAGCAGACCTTTCTAGATCAGCTCACTTTATTTAGGAAAAATATCAAACTGTATTGTCATTTACTGAAAACAGCATTTCTATGTAGTGAGAAAAACCTTCATTATTTTTCTTAAATCCAAATTAGACCTCTATGTCACCTGGTAGTCAGGCTTGGTGAAGTAGTCAAGGTTGGAGATGTGTTCCAAGAATACACCAAACTCTGCTGGTAGGTGTTTTAGCATCAGACGATGGTCGTAAGTGTCCTTTAGCTTCCCCACGTGTTCCTGGGAATGAACAAACACATACACCAGTCACATCTCATCACTTACAGCTACCTGGACAGGGCTGTATAGTTTCCGGGAAGGACAATAATTATTGGTTGTCCTTACTTTGTCCTTGATCTTCCTCCATGGCAACTGACCGACCAGAAACTCCACCAGCATATAGAAGAGAGACCACAGGTCATCATGACGACCCATCTCCTGCAGAATTACAACAGGTTTGAGTTAACATTAATCAATAATATTTCATGACCAAAAAGAGAAAGTTGTGTATAGCACACGTGAATAGCATGAATAGACACACATGTGGGACAGCATCACAGATGACACAAGAGCTCCCACACATGGTAGATAGTGACTGACCTTATTCTTGTGTGCATTGACAGATGCATAGCGGACTGTTCCCCTGAACCCTGCCACTGGACGGGGCTGACAAAGACAGAAACAGCCATTAAAAGCTAATATACAATATAACACAAAAGTTAAAAGAAACTACTTATATTTGTCTAATTTTTTTTATCTAACATCTAACACTATCCCTTTATTTCCATTCCTAATATTATTCGATCCCATTAAACCTGCAACATAATTTTAATTTTTTATACAGTTGTTATGGTGTTCATGTTAGCAATCTTTTGCGTATTTACACACCAGTCATTTTCATTTGGAGTAGTGTTTCTGGTCATTTGATGAATGTAAATCCAATATTCAATCTCTTTTAGCTCAGTTTATCAGGCATTTTAGCTGCTAAATGCTATTTGGTGCTGGGCAGGTAGCATCCAGTCGGTTTATCAGAGCTTTTTTAGACTAAACACAGCCATCTGCTGCTGTTGTAAACGAGGGTGATAAGAGCAGTGAGACTGAAACAAAACAGTAAATTTGTGGACTGAAAAACAAAAACAAAAAACATCTCTGTGGTTGACACTTTTTCCATTACACATAATAATTTGATCCATTGTTAATATAAAAATATTTCGTGCGGTTAGGCTCAGTTTATACCCAGTAACAGAGAAGGGCACTTACAGGTCGGACCTCCTGGCAAGAGTTGGTGAACTGGCGAGCTAAACCAAAGTCCAGCATGTAGCAGGTTCTGCAGGTACTCGGAAAGCGGCCCATTGCGAAATTGGACTGAAGCAGAAAAACAAGATGCAATGGATAAAAGCATAATATAATCAATTATGTGAGAATACAATCACATTAAAATTGTATGTATTTATATTCATGTAGCTTCGGGAAAATAAATAAGTTCTTATGGTGGAATATAATTTATTAAAGCAGCTCAGAAGACAGCTGAGACAGGCAGCTAAGACATTCTCCTACATTTTGGGCACTTAGCCAACACTCATTATGAGCCAACTTACTGAAAGTGCAATAATCAAAAAAAAATGAATAATACAACAAAACTAGCAGCCAATAAAAAGTCACAAAGACAGACAATAGAACTATTCTCCTGTGTCGGGAATATATAGAAGGAGCATAAGTGCTAGGTAATGAAAAGAGAACCAAGCAGAAAATATCCTCTGCTGCACCCAGCTACATGTGACTCACTGGTTTTATGTCACGATGAAGGAAGCCCACAGAGTGGATGCTCTCTATGGCCTCCAGGATCTGGCGCCCCAGACGCAGGGTGGTGCTGATGCTGAAGGTTCCCCTGGTCATACTCCTTCTCAGGTCAGCCAGGTTACGACCCTGAGAGAGCACATGCACAAGAACAGTAAGCAAAGTGGGAAAATTTGAAAAAGTCTGATAAATTCCCAGGTCCTCTGACTCTCCTCACAAACACGTCATAAACGGCAAGAATTACTAAAAGTATTTATCTAGCTCTCAAACATAGTATCTAGACAAATAAATTCACTATTAAATGTTTTAGTGACAGTGGTGACAGCTAAATGTGGTGAGTGGACAACAGTGAGAAAAAAAATTAATTCAGCTGCACTGATCATCTCTTATTAAACACACGGTGCGGTCGGGAGTCAGTGCAGTCCACAGCATGGTTATGTAAATCACAACCAGACCACACTTTCAAAACACACAAAGCTCATCTATCATCACATTCAGAGAATGTATTCATGAATTTGTGATCATGTGGTAGATGCAGTAATTGAAACTAATTTGATGTCTGATTGATTGATTTCTCAACATCCTTTAGATAGACTGACATGTAAATTTGTACAGACATTTATGGTCCCCAGAGGATCCTAAAGACTTTGGCTGTCCCCCAACATTTCTTCAATGTGAGGGAAGCATTTGGTTTTAAGTGAAATATCTCAACAACTGTGGGAGCTTGTTAGCATTGTCAATGTGACCATGTACATCTAGGTTACTAAAATGTTTGCACAGTATGTTAGTAGCTAAATTATTCTATTATTATTATTACTATTATGTAGCAGTATTTTTAGAATATTAAGAATTATTTATTTAAAATTACAATCATTCATCATCAATTCTAGACGAGAAACAGCCATGCTGTCCCTCTGAAAAAATGTCAAACCTTGAGCAATGACTCAAAGTGGTTTGACATAGGACTGTATTTGAGCAACTTTGGCTGAACAGCGGCAACTGTGGCCACAAGTGACAATTATAGCATAATTGAAAATACTTAATCTTAGCCACCATGAGCTAGCAGTCCTAACCAGACCAAGTAAGGCTGAAGCAACAAAACCCCTGAATGTATATAATTAAGCAAGGGGTGCATTTTATTCCTTATCAATTGTTATTAAAACTATTCATCTATAAGAGAAATAATGTGTTATTATTTTTTAAAGCAACATAGTTTGCTTTAATCTGTTCACTGATTTGCTGATAAATTATTTACTTTATAAAATGCCAGTCACAATTTCCCAGACCCATAAGCAGCATTTTTTAAATTACTTGTTTGTCCAACCAACAGTCTGAAACTAAACAATTAAACGATTATTAAAAGTGTTTCCAGTCATTTATTTGTCAATCCACTCACTGATTTCTTGCTTCAGCACAACTTTGATGTGTCACACAAAATGAGTGCTTATGAGGCATTAAGTTCTCTGCATTCAGACCAACCTGAAGCTCCATCACCACGTAATTAAAGCGGTCATTGCGGCCACATCCCACAAAGCGACACACATGGTCTTTACCTAAGAAATAAAGGAGGACAAGAGAGTTTCAGGTTACTGGAGAGGAGAAGCAGAGGTCACTTCACAGTCACCTGACGTCAGCTGTGTGACTTGATCGTCAGACGCGGCATGCTGTGTGAATCATGATGATGTGTTATGTTCATATTTCCCTGCCCTTCCCTCTCCACTCACGACAGCTCACTGCCCTCCCATCACCAAGACTACCCTGTTGATTTATATGCTACAGCACACAACACTGGGTCCACACATGTGCATGAATGCCTTGTGTGTTTGTGCATGTGTGTGAGCAAGTGTGCATGTGCTCTGGTCTCAAAAGACATTGCTGCACTGGCAGCATGACTGCGGCCACACCCCAAACCCTTCAGCACGCAGTGAATGCAAACAGTTAATAACAGAACTTCTCTGTAAAATGCACTATTTTTATTTCACCACATTCTTATACAATAAATCAAAGTAAACTTCCAAAAGAATCCAAAAACAAAACCAGCTATTAGTAGCTAGATATGACTGATTAGTCTTCTTAAAAGGCACTGGGTTATTGTTTACTTGTTACAGCTGGGTCAGCAATGTTTTGGGGGGCTGGAGTTCAGCCCATCTCAGATTACATGCTGGTTCCCTCAGGAATCAACAGACCAATGATGCCCCAGGCCGCAGTCATTAGACAGCAAACATGATCCCATACCATTGATTTTCCTCTCAGAGCGAAGAAAGGAAAAAGCCATAGTGGTTAAAAAGCATGAAGGTTTAAGGGAGGGAAAAGACATAGTTAAAAAAGAGAGAAAGGCGTAAAACTATACAGCCCCTCTTTAGGAGCTCTCTTGTGTTAATCCTGTGTCTCTGCTGTCAGATGTTGGAAGTGTCCCAGCACACAAACATATACTTCCTCTTGTACTAGAACTCTGTCTTCAGTTCCTGTCATCTGAAACTTTTACATTAAACCTCCTAACACTTAAACCGCAATTAAAATGACAAAATTATTGACAGAAAATATTTTCCTTCTCTTAAGGATTTGTTTTTCAGCCAAGAATGCTAATGATACACGCAGTATCCTCTTTTGGGTCGGATCATTAGGTCACGGTGACAGGGAGAATCAATCAATTTCCAGCAATGTAACCAAATCCACTGCATCCATTTCGACTCACCCTGGAGCTTCTTGAGCACGGCGACCTCCATCTTGAGCACCTGTTTGGGCTGCTGGGCCGACTCCACCTTCAGAGCGACACTGACCCGTGTCAGCAGGTCCAAAGCCTCGTAGATCTCCCCAAACCCACCACCCCCAATCTTCTTCACCTAGAGGAAGATGATGGAACAACATGGACAGTGAGATGCACATTTATAGGACGTGGGAAGCTTAACAAAAGTTAATTTTTGTTTGTTTTTTTGCTCTGTTTTTAATCGGTCAGTCTGTCAATATAAAAATCAGATGGTCTCCTTTGGTGGGACTATGTGATAGGATTAATTTAGGCATTTTTGTGTAGTATTATTCAGGGAAGTTTCACAGAGAGAAAGGCTCTCTTCTGCAGGAACGCTCTGATCACACTCTCACAGTTACACACATACACACCTGGAAGCTGCCCAGTACAACCACAGTCTGATCTGCAGATTAGATTATTGTCTTATATAGTGTTTCCAAATTAGTCATAAAGAGCCAACAAACGAGAATAGTCCATGCAATCAACGAGAAAAAAGATTTTCTCGTTGAGGTCTTTTCTTTTTTAAGACACAATGAAACAGATTCAGGCAGCTGTAGAATATCCTGGCAGGGAGCAGTGTTGAAGACCTCTCACAATGGTCTATTTTGTGACTTCGGTTTATATCAAACAATTTTCAAAAGCCTAAGGTGGCCTATTCACATTGCTTGCTTTGTCCGACTAACTGTACAAAACCCCCCAAAATATTCAGTTTACTATCACAAAAGAGAAAGATTAATCGACTCTCTTCAGATCTACCTGACAATAAATGGGAGTAGGTAATTAGTGATTGCTGTTTGTGCATGTGTGTGTATTTCGGACCTATGTATGTGTATAGTAATAATAACAACAGAGTGAAATATATTTGAGTTCCGCTACAGGGATTATAAAGTCTTCTTCTTCTTCTTCTTCTTTTTCTTCTTCTTCTACTTTTCACCTGTAAATAGTTCCTGTCCTTGGTGCTGATAGCACTTGCACTGATGAAGGCAAAAATGGTAGCACACTTTTCTATATGACACCAAGAGAAGTATGTGATTCATTTCACTATGCTCTCTTGTTTATTTCACTCCTTCAAACTGCCCCCTGCCGTTTCACTCTCACCTCTCAGTACTAGTAGAGGTTTAATTTCTTCTAAGTCCCAATGTGTCCTTCACTGTCCTCCTTGCACACACACACACACAGTCTTCTGTCGCACTAGGAGCTAAAGTCGTGGGATTAGCTGCAGCGTTCTTATGTAACTCTGCTCCTTAGAAGACAAGAAGTGGTGCCAAGCTGCCAGTTAGGAATAACAGCCTCACATGGCACCCAGGCTGGTACAGCAGTGAGAGACATGGGCCCACGGGGAACACTGCTGTTGCTGCCTATAGCACACTGCACTGCCATAAATAGCTATACAGGCTATTTTTGGATTTCCCATACTGCAGCAGCCCTACCTGGAGCGAGAGACACAACCCCAAACTGTCCAAGCCACAGGTGAGATACTCCGAGAAAAGCAGGAGGACTCATAGGCAGGGGAGAGCATTGTTTGATGAACAAAGAGTTGTTTGTGGAACAGAGGGCGAGCTACGGACAGGCAGTGATGGGGCTGGACAAATTGCCAAACAAAATGCCTATTGTAGTTGAATAATATGCCACATACCACTTTCCATCGTTCCTTGACCAGGGATAGCACGCTTAGGATGTCAGCTTGCTCCACTCCCCCGCTCATCCCGTTTGTGGACCAAGGACGCTGTCCTCACTGCTTCCCCCCTCGACCAGCTGCCTCAGACTGGGCCTGGCATTTGGGCCTTGATGGAGAACCCTATGGAAGCCCAAGAGAACTTTCAGAAGCTGAGGAATAAAGACCAAGGAAATCAGATGAATTCTGATTATTTAGGATCATCTGCACAAACTGATAACTTCAGGATCCTGAGCTAATCTTCTTGGTTGTTGAACACCGAGGTTTTGAATATGCAAAAGGCCTGTTTTTCTATTTTAGGCCTGTTTGAACTATATGTGAAAGTTCGAAAGTCTCCCAAGTGGAGAGACAGAGTTAAACCCTTGGCTTAATGTCTGCAGCTTTCTGATACTCGACCATCGCTGCAGCTGCCACACCTGCTGCCAGCAGTTGTCTTTCTAGACAATCTCACCCCACCAACTCACAGGCAAAAGTCCATCATCTTAAATTACAAAAAGGCTTAGTATCATTTTCCCGGCCATTTATCTTCTGTGTATGACAGCCAAGGAACAGGTCTTATGAATAAAGTACTATGTGTCTCGGCAGATATAATGAGACCGTTTTAATATATTCATTAGGGTGATTAGCTCTGGCTGTGTGAAATATAAAACAATATCTTATCACATACAGTAGTATACATTTTGAATAAGTACACTGATGTTAATCATATTGAAGTTGAACTGTGTAAAGTCTATAAAATAATTTCCTTCAGATGGCATTTTGTAAGCAAGTTATTCTTAATTTAAGGTTACAAAAATATGTATCACAATAATTTCAGTTCATCACAATATGAGTCTTTCAAATGAGTTTACATTGTAAAACCAGATTTTTGGGCATCCCCAGGTCAAAATTCACAAATGCAAATGTTTTTTGTCAGTTATCCAAATGACCCGCCACTAGTTCCTGTCCCACCACTTGACAAATACTATCTTGGACCACGTCCTTAAATGTACCTGATGCCTAAAGATAAATTGTACCACTTTCTGATAGGTTGCCCCTTACAAAAAAGTTTGTAAATCAGCTTGCAAACCAATTTACATTTATTAATTATTACACGCTTTATACAAAGCCATCACGTATGCAGTTGAACATATTAATAAATTGTTAATATATTTACCTTGGTCCAGATACTCTGCAGGTTTTTCTAGGTGGTGAATGAATTAAAGAGCTACTGAGACAACTGTCCTGCTAGATGCATTTTTGCAACCTGACAAGCCAAAAGGTGTTCCTATTTATGGCTTATATCTAATCTATAAAGCATTAGTAGATTATTCATTAATAAAGCAATTAGTTACAACTTAAAAATCATTAATAAAGGGTGAGTTATTAGTAAGCGGTACCAATAAAATGTACTGCCATGCACCATAAGCTTCCTTTCGCTCTGTACAACAACATTAAAATGGGAGTTTCCCCTGGATAAGCTATGTGTATACTCCTGTATTATACAACATCATAGATAAGCATTTCTCAGGAGAGCACACGCTGGTAACTTCCTTTAGTCTGGCTTCAAACGCTCAAAGCAAACCCAACTTCGATTCATCATTCTGCACACGGTGCGCGGGCGTCTACGGTTATGCAACCAGCCTTCAAAATACTATTTGGTTGCAGGGCATGACATCCCGACATCAAGGAGGCAATCAATCCCATCATACACCGGGATGAGTTTGGGAGATGGAAGAGGGCAAAACATGGTTGGACCAGATAACTGTGAAATGACAAGCATGAAATGGGACCTAGGGTTATGACTCAGGAGCTCTAACATACAGATAGACTAGTGGACGAGATGTTTCTGCTTAAGACATACTCTAATAGTCTTTCAACTGTATTCTTTCTGTAAACACATTATTATAGTGAACATACTGATGAGACCGTGAGAACAGCAGGCCTTTTATTAACAAGTAACAACAGTAAAGTTATGACAAAATTGTAATTTCCCTTAAAATCTAACAATGATTGTGTGCTTACAAATGAACAATACAGAGTCTACAGCCATGCTAACAGTTAAGCTCCTTAACGCTAACATGCTCAAAATAAATTACATTCCGTTGTTAAGCAGGTAATGTTTCCAATGGACATCATTTAACATGTTAGCATGCTATCATTTGCTAATTAGCACTAAACAGAAAGTAAAGTTTTGGGCAGTAAAGTTTTGGGCAAATATCAATTCTGACCTTGTGATGGCACTAGATGAAAAGTCAGGGGATCACAATCCATCATGAGGAGATCGTGAATGTTTGTACAAACCATAACGGCAAGCCATCCCTTTGTTGTTGAGAATTTTTATTGTGGACCCACAGTGGTGGACCAACATTGCCATCCACTAAGGAAACAGGAGTTGAACTGAATCATGTGTGAACCTCTCTTTAATGAAGCCATACTGGCCAAAGCAGAACTGAACTCCTCTAAAAGTCTCTTTTTGGCAACAAACTATGCCAATGTCAGCCACCAGAACTATCTGAGGGTAGACACAGATAAAGCAAGTGAGAGCTGTTTTTGTAAAAACATTGGTGGATTTCTTGATTTTATGCTAACTGGCACAAAAACAGAACTCACCATCCACGCCACAGAAGAAACATGATGAACAAAACCCTTTCATCCCCGAGGGATGAGTATAAGTCACTGTAAACACTGATTAGATAACCTCTGCTGTGAGTCCTGTGTTACGACTTCAAGGTCACCCTGTTCTAGTGTTTCCCTCCTCTGATGGGTAGAAATAGTTTTTTCCATCACATCAGAGCTATCGTGCATGAGGCATCCTTTTCTGCTGCTGTTTGCCACATTCAATGTCTATGGCTTAGAGAGTTAATGAGAGAAAAACCCAAGCTTCTGGCAGAAAACTGGAAGATATAGGAGAAATGACGGATGTTTTCGGGAGGTTTCTAACCTAACCTAACTTAACCTACACTTTCAGGTATACTTCTGTATCTCTCAAAAACAGCCCAAGTGAGTCAGAACAGCAGCAAAGACACTGGGGTCCTACCTCCCAGTCGACCCATAGACTGCATATAACAAGCAAAAGCCACATGCACTCAAACACAAGCTCGTACACAAATTGCATAAGTGCACACAACTATGCAAAAGCCATAGCTGCCACACGCTGTGACTAATCTCACACCTCACAATGAGGCACGGCTCTGCTCCTCCTCCTCCTCCTCTTCCTCCTCCTCCATAGGAACCAACCATCAATGAAGAAGAAAAAAAAGAAAAAGCAGCTAAGGAGGAACAGACCTTGGACCAAACGTTAAACCAATCTATGACAGCTCGCTCCCGTCTCATCATGAATCACGCTTCCTGACCCCCCTGTATCTCCATGGCGACGATGGTGCAGTGCCATTTTCATTTAGCTGACTGCAGCTGACTGCCGTCGCCTCTGCCCTTTTTTGTCTGCTGGATGCCGCAAGTTTTACGGATACATAAAAGCATCATAAAATGTGAATGAGTGATCCCACCCTTGAGGATCCCTCCTCCTGCTCCACTTAAAAGCTGCGTTTTGGAGTTGTTTGTCAATAAATATTGACAAAAAGCAAATAAGTTGTGAGCCATAATGCCATCTATGCACACATATGCAATAACACGTGGCCCAAGTGAGAGTAAACCAAGCGTCTGCTTAATTTTCTGTCTAATCTGAGTGTGGTCTGGCTCAGTAGACAAGACAGGGAGACTTGTCAGGCTGCTGCTTGATGAAATAAGTGTCTGGTCTGACAACTATGTGTGCAGGACAAGGAGCCAGGGAGGCCCTCCACACTTTGATTCCTCTCAAGTCACAGCATGGATGCAACTGATCCAGTGGGAAGAAACTGTGATGGGAGTGTGTGTTTATATGGCATAATGGCTCAACTGAAGCCTTCAAGATCAAGCATGCATTTACATAAAGAGCAGTATTTGGTTTGGGTAATTACTGTAAATGAACACTGCCTCAAATCCTTTATTTTAAGAGCTAATTGTGAGAGTTTGAAAAATGCAAGCACACACACACACTAAAATACTTCTGGTAAGTTGTTTTCAATTGGATGTGACGTTGTGCAGCAATGTCCTAAACCTCCTCTCCTCCCTGCAGAGGGCTGACTGTGGCTTTGCTGTGGAGAGCTGTTGCATAGCGAGTTGGTTGCCACAGCAGATTTACTCAGGCGCGTCCACGCACACTGGCCGTCCAAAGGCCACGCAAACCTCTTCAAGCTTGACGTGTAGGAGGTTATACTGACAACATCATGCAGGATAACAAACTCAATGTATGCAGCTGCAAGAGACAAATAAGGGGTGTATAGGGTGGTAGAAAAGGGCGAAGCCGAATGGGGTGGGAGCATAGCAAGGCCTCTGGATTCTGGATCCTTACCTCGGGTCTTTTGCTGCCAGTCCTTGATCCAAAGAAGAGCCGGGTGTGGTTACAAAAAATCCTCTACGTTTGGAGGCGGCGGGGACGACGTTGAGCGGAATCCCATAGCGAGCGAACCGTCCACAGGAAGCGGCGGAGGCTGGTTAGAAATAAGCGAGCGGAGGCGAAATATGTCTGAGTGTGGCCGTCCCTTTTCTCCTTCTGCCTGTCACCTCAGCATCTCTATCGGTCGCTGCGGATCCCCGACGTGACGACTCTGTGATGATCATCAGCCTTCCTGCGTGCGCGGGCCCGATTCAATCGCCCCTCGCAACAGCTCGGGAGCGCGCACCGGGGTCCTTTAAAAGCTCGTTCGCGGTCCATAACAGTCAGCGCGCGAGCTCTGCACAATCGTAAGATGAGTGTTCAACTTTTTATATACAGCCTATGGTATTCAGTGTTTGTTTTCACGGCTGTGACATCATGTCAAATAATATCACACATGCACGCCGTGTAATGAGAAAGAGGAATGTTTTAGAAATTAAAATGAAGCTTAAAAAACAAGTACTCTCTGTAGTGTTTGAGGACACAATCTAAGCAAGTTTGGAACGCGGCCACAGGAAAAAAAAAAAGTTTTCGCAAAGACCACTGGGAGGCGGCGTTAAGCCAAAGATGGTGTATGTGACTGATGGCATGCACAGCAATAAAAATGAGCAACCCTCCACTTTGCAAAGTTGACATTTTCTATTCCTCGGTCCATTTAAAAGACCTCGTTTCCTCTTTTTTTGCACTGACCACAAACAAGCATTTCCCCGCACTCAGCAGTCCTGAAAATAAAGTTGCCTCAAAAAGTAACATACACACACAATTGTACCACTTTCCCATTAGTACCATTACATTGACATTTATACATAATCAGAATCACTTTTTATTATTGTTTATTAGTCAGGTATGTGCGCTCACATTAGGAATTTGACACTCTCAATGTACATACACAGAAAAAGCATAATCTCACAGTAGAACAAGCTCAACAAAATAGACGTAAATTACTATGTACATACATAAAAACAAAAAATATTTTGTGCATGTGTTTTTATTTACATGAGTTACGTGGATGTGAAATGTACTATATACTATAAGCCATGAACAGATAATTAAACGATCAAACAAGGCATTATTTCTCCTTACTCCATATGTGAAAATTCTCCAATGAATTTGGTATATTATGTTATTTGGCTGAAATATTTTAAAATCCACAAAGCTAAGAAAATGTGGCCCACATTGCTGCGATGGGCTATTTTTCATCTCTAGTCCCTAGACAAATGTTATGTAGTCACCTTAAAAAGGAATATACAATTGAAAAGCAAGTAGATCAATAATGAAAAAAATATATATTAATGTTAGTGTGAATATCATTCATAACATTGCCATTAAAACATGCAACACAGACGCACACAACATGCAAAGCAACACAATTGGGAATATTAATGTTAATCAACATACATTATCAAGCAATATTTTATTTTAACTTGAACTTGTATCTCTACAAACATGTTTATGTAGTTAACATGATACCATGTTCTATTATATATCTATATAATAGCATATTTTATTTGATTGCAACATCATGTCAACATCAATGAAATGATAATGTATTATAGTAAACAGAAATTTAAAAAATAATAATAATTAAGTTTTTTACAAAAGTAAATTACTTAAAAAGTCAAAGCTCCCAAGGTAACTCCTCGATTTTTGAGTGTCAGAAATATGAGAGGGAAAGTGCAAAGATGAGAGAGGGGATAAGAAGGTTAGGGGGGCTATTCACTTAGGGAAGTGCTGGGGAAGTCATTAAATGATATGAGTACACTGTTATTTCGATTCTTTCTGGCAGAAAGGATATAGGTTAAATTTTGTGTTTGTTTGTTTGTTTGTTTCAGTTTTGTTTTGATGATTTATTTATTTATCTCCGGCCCACACTCCAGTACAGTAGGTGGCGGTAAGGCACCAATAATGTTGGATGCCAACCGCCGTTAAACAACAAAGAAGAAGAAGAAGAAGAAGACGGTAACTCCTCGCGATAGCGGGGTCAGTAGGATTTCGATGCGATACTCGGAAAACACTATCGGAGTGGGAGCTCTTCCTCCACACAACAGATGGTGACGTTTCCCGATCCGACCTGTCAGTGTGCTGTGTTGGTAGCTGGTGGGTAGCTAGCTGCTAGCTGACCTGCTGAGCTACCTCCTCCGCCTCTGAAGGCTGCTGAACTGAGCCGTGAATGAACCCCGCACCTCAATGCATCCCCTGTGGCCGCGATGGCAGCGACAGAAACGGTGTGGGTCTGAGATCTTAGCCATGTAGCTAAATGGTTAACTATATCTGTAGCATAGTTAATGTTAGTGTGATTCGTGCCCTTAGCTATTTACACCAGTAGCTAGCTTTTTTCCCTGTCCGGGACAGACGGCGGCAGCTAGCCCCCTCTCTCGCCACTACAGGAGGATGCTGAAGCTGTTCGGTGCACTGGTTATCCTCGGACTGGCCCTGGCGTGCATCACATCCTGGGTGCTGGACAGCTATGACACGGCTTGGCACCCTAAACGGAGCGTTCAGCACCCGACTGTCGGTGATGGAGATGGGAGTACCCCACCATTTCCCGGCGGCGAGTTGAGCAATATATTCTGGTTTATACAGGTGGGCTTTATTCCGTCTTGCTAGCGAGCTTTGTTGGGTCTTGCAAGCCATTTACCAAAAATGCTGTCTTTAACCAGTATTGACATTTTTAATTTTATAGACTATGTGAAATGATTAGAATATCTACATTTGGCTTTGTAGTGTTGTTATAAAAAGAGAGCAATGTCAGTTCAACCACTGAACTCTCTCAATGATTGACAGAAAGGGGTCAATGACCACAGAAGTGTGTCATTGTCAGGTAAAAAGGTGGTTCAGCAACTCAGTAAGTTGTATTCAGATGTTTCACCTTTTGTGTTTAACCACTCTCATACTGCTGTTGAAACAGACCAGATCTCAGAACCTGTTAAATCTATTGTTTTATCCCTGCTTCTGGTTTTTATGTCTGTTTAAAGGTGTCTGACATTCACATAAGCCGATTTCATGATCCAAGACGCATTCCAGATTTTGAAAAGTTCTGCACTGACACCACTGAAGTGATCAAGCCAGCTCTAGTGCTTGCAACAGGTACAGTAATCCCCCCATCTTTAAATAGTTTAACATACTTGCACTGTAATTAGGCTGCCTGGGGTGTGGCCTGCACTTTTTTGCAATCCCAGAAAAATATGCTGCTTCACTGAAGCCATGCTGTTTCTCTGCTGTGTTTTCTTCCACTCTGCAGGGGATCTGACAGATGCTAAAACAGAGAGTAAGGTGGGTTCCCTCCAGCATGAGGTGGAGTGGCAGGCCTACCACAACATCCTGAAGAGGTCCCGTGTGATGGAGCGCACTAAGTGGATAGACATCCGTGGAAATCATGGTGATTAACTGCAACACTTCTGTCATCTTAATGTTCCTTTTAAACGCATTGGTTCAGCTGAAACATCCTAGAGTAGGGAGTGTACAATTTAAGATTTTCTCTCAACGATCCATTAACTGTAGTGCATAGTATCACACAGGAAGTCATCCTCCCCCTCCTCTTCAATGCTGCCCCCCCCCCCCCCCCCCCCCCCCCCCCGTTATTGGATAGCAAGCTATTAAATCTGAAACAAGATATCCTTACTTTGTAACTGTCAAATAAAGAAAGCTAGTTATTGGATTGTGAGTTTCTCGGACAGCTATTCTGCTGTTATTGTGGGTTCTAACAACAGACTTTGCCCGATATCTTGCAGTAACATGAGGAAATCTGATTCCTTGATTAAATATCGCTCCATGCCTGGGATTTTTATCATTTAACATCCTGGACACTTAAATGACAGGGCAATAATACAATAATGATATTTATTGTGTTATAATTTTCCTCAATAATATTATAACAAATGTTCAGTAAAGTTATATACATGCTTAATTTTAATTAATTTGAATCGAACGAATTAGCAAATTTTCTATTAAGATATTTAACTTGTTAGGGAAAAGCTGTGCAGCTCCCACAACGATTTAGCTTTTTTTTTTTTTTTTTTTTTAATGCAATTTCATGTCTTCGCGGGAAATGGGGAAAAAAAGATTTAACTTAATTTTACTCGTGCATATTTGTTAAAAAAAAAGATTGAGTGTTCTACCTCAGATTTGTGAAGTGATCCACTGTTTGGTGAGTGTGCTTGTTTTGACCTTAAAAAATAGTTTGACCACAGTTAACCTTCTGGTTTCTTCAAAAACCAGCCTTTAAACTTGAAAGAAATAATGATATGAAATGTTTTTATCGTGATAACATTTTTGGCCATAGCCCTAGGCCCTTAGCAGTAAATCTTAAGGCTGTCGTCTGGTCAATTATCTTTGTATGTAGTTTATATTCTGCTAGATCTCACCTTTTATTTAATTTTTTCTGACAGATGCCTTCAATATTATTTCACTGGATAGCATCAACAATTATTACGGGTGAGTATGAAATTGCCAATAATGTTACAGTAAATGCCTGATTTACATCCAGCTGTCTACTCCTGCATGTCTTATAGCATCAAGCTGAGTGTGAAGTCGATCAGAGCACACAGTAACTTCAGTGCCTCTGAATCATGAGTAGACCTATTTATTAACAATAATCCAAGCTGTCTGAGCTTCCTGAGGACCAAAATAGAAGCAGAATCTACATGAGACTCAAATTATGTTTTATGTGACAGTGCTGCTTCTGTTAATGCTGATTGATCTTTTATCTCTCTAATATGCGTAATGTTGTGGTCAGATGGCAGACAGACAAAGTCGGTCCTTTAAAATGCATTAAATTAGCTCAGGAATCTATTAGGATTGGAGCCGCTGGCTGAATCCCAGAACACATAGTCTTGTTGCTTACATAGAATTTTTAAAAATTTCCCCAGGAAATACTCAGCTAATCAGAAAGTTGGCTCTTTCCACTACGTTCACAAAACTCCCTTTGGCAACTACTCCTTTGTCTGTGCGGATGCCACTCTGACTCCAGGACCCAAGAGGCCGTACAATTTCTTTGGTATTCTCAACCAGGTACGGCTGTCTACCACCGGCTCTTGACAAAACATAAACATTTGCTGAATTTGTGACAAACTCCATAAAGACACGTTAAAAAACAGTTTTTGTTATTACACTTGGATTTGTTAAAGGCTAGAAGAGACTTAAATAATTTAAGGTCATATTCCTCTATGAGGAAATGTGGTCATTGA